TATTTGTCGAGGTTTGATGCGGCGTGTAACCTGGCATTTTCTGCTGCTCGAGCTCCACATATCGCTGTATCGATGTGGTTGCGGTAATTTCGGTGCGGAAAGAGCCTAGCTTTAACTCCTCTGGCGTGATTGCTTCTTTACCGTATAGGAGGCAAAAGGGGGTGAATCAAGTTGTCCGAGTACACAAAATGTTATGCCCCTAGACAGAAGTGATTAGTTCCTACGCCCATTTCCCTTTTGATAGATTGAACAACGCTTTGGACACTGCGTTAAAAATCAAGCCATTTGCCCTTTCGACTGCCCCGTTGCTTTTTGGGTGATTGATCGAGGCGAATGCCAGTTTGATCCCCAATTCACTGCAAAAATTTCTGAACTCTATGCAATCAAACTGCTTTCCATTGTTGACTATGATGTAAGATGGGACCCCGAACTGACAAATGATTCTCTGCCACACAAAACTAGTTAAGGTACCCGAGGTGATTTTCACTAGTGCTTTAGCCTTGATCCACTTTGTGAAATACTCTAAAGCCATTATGGCAAAACACAGGTTGCCAGGTGCTATCGGCAATGGGCCCACGATGTCGACCCCCCATCTCTGCAAAGGCCATGTTGGAATGATTGACGTGGTCGGATTAGCTAGGGCTCTCTGCTTTTTGGCGAACATCTGACAGTTTTCACAACTATGGACCAGCTCTTTTGTGTCTTCTGCTGCTGTCGACCAGTAGAATCCTTGCCTCATCGCTCTATGAGCAATTTCGTGTGGTCCCCTCTGAGCTCCGCACATTCCAGCGTGCATTTCGCTTAGCAATTCAATTCCTTGCTCTTTGCTTATGCACTTTAGCATTGGTCTTGCAATTCATTCTATCTACCGCATGCTTGCTATGTGGCTCAGAGGTTCCATTGAGGTAGGTGAATATGGGCGATCTCTAATCCTTGCTTGCGATAACATGCATGGTGCTGGGTCGTTCTCTTCTTCTTGTATGGTTTTGACTGACAGCTCTTGATAGAATACATCTGCTGGTAAGGGCGCTCTTTGCGTAGCTGCTTTCGCTAGCTCATCTACCTCAGCATTGTGGCTTCTTGGAATGTGGCAGAAGGTGAATCTGGCGAAATGTTTTCCATACTCCTCACTGCTGCCAAATACTTGATCAACTCAGGTTCCTTCGTGGTGAATTCTTTCTCGACGTGCCCCACTACCACCTGAGAGTCTGATCTAACTATGCATCTATGGATTCCCAAGGCTCTAAGCTTTCGCAACCCTAGGAGCATCGCCTCATATGTGGCTATGTTGTTTGTTGTGAAGAACTCTAGCCTGGCCGTGTACCGCAGCTTTGGACCTTTCGGTGGTGTTAGTATCACTGCTATAGCAGCTCCGGCCATACCCTAGGCGCTGTCATAGTGCACCGTCCAAGTTGGTTCTTCGAATTGAAAAGTGGTATCGAAAGCTACTGGGGTCCAGTCCGCAATGAAGTCAGCGAGCACTTGCTACTTGATTGCTGATCTGTGTTCGAAGTCAACCACAAACTCATTCAGTTCTGTGGCCCGTTTTCCGATTCTACCAATGGCTTTGCTATTGCAAAATAGTGCTTCCAGTGGCTGTGCTAAAAGTACTTTGATGCGATAAGCCTGGAAATAATGCTTAAGCTTCCTTAATGCCATGACAACTGTGTATGCTATTTTTTCTAATTTAGAATAGTTAAGCTTTGCTCCCGACAGAGCTTCTGATACGAAATATATTGGAAACTGCTTCATCTTATTTTCGTGCTCCTTCTCTTCGACCAATACTACACTAATGGTTGTCGATGATGCTACCAGATATAACAGCAATGTTACGGATGGCGAAGGCTTAGATAATGTTGTTAGTTTGATCAAGTATGTTTTGAGCTCGTCGAACGCTTCCTGCTGTTCAAGGCCCCATTCGAAATGATCTAAGCTTCAAAGAGTTCTGAAGAAAGGTAAGCCCTTCTCGACTGACCTCGTGATGAACCTGTTTAGAGCTGCTATCCTGCCAGTTAACTTCTGCACCTGTTTTTTGCTTGTGGGGGCTTCATATTTACTATCGCTGCTATTTTTTTAGGATTTGCTTTGATGCTTCTCGCTGACACTAGACAACCGAGAAACTTGCCTTTCTTGATGCCGAATATACAGTTGTCTAGGTTCAACTTGAGGCCACTCTTTCTCAGATTCTTGAATGTTTCTTGGAGATCCTGAATATGAGTTTCCTTCTTGTCGCTCTTGATGACAATGTCATCGACGTATGCTACTAGGTTTTTACCCTTCTGTTTGTCAAATACACTATCAGCCATTCTAGAAAAGGTGGGGCCTGCATTTTGTAGTTCCTCGGGCATTCGCCGGTAATAGTAAGTTCCCCTTGGAGTGATGAAACTAGTTTTCTCTTCATCATCCTGGTTCAGCTAGATTTGGTGATACCTCGAGAAGCAATCTAACAGACTCATTACTTCGCACCCCACAGCAATGTCGACCAACTTGTCAATTCTTGGGAGCGGATATGGATCTTTCGGGCAACATTGGTTTAGATCAGTGAAATCTACACACATTTGCCACTTTCTGTTTTTCTTTCTGACCATTACAATGTTGGCTAACAACTCTAGGTACTGGACCGGTCTGATGACACCGGCATCGAGTAGCCTTTGCACTTCGGCTTTTGCCGCTTCTGCTCTTTTCGTGGACATTTTCCTCAATTTCTGCTTCCGTAGTTTTGCTCCTTTTGCGACGTTCAAATTGTGTTGCGCCAGTTCACGACTTACACCCTGCAAGTCATTTGTGAACCAGGTGAATACATCCTGATTGTCATGAAGAAAAGAGACTAGACCGTTCTTTTCATCCTGTGCGAGGTCAGAGCCCACGTGTACACATTTCTCAGGTGCTAGAGCAGACAAGGGTGTTTTTATGTTGTCTTCGGCTGCCTCTGCCCTTGGCTCTGTTGTCTTTTTGCTATCTACTACTTCATTAAGTGGCTTCTTCGCTACTTCATTTATGAGGCTATAATCAGGGATCGGTTTGCCTTCTATTCGCCTTGATGCGGCTTGGTCTCCATGCACTATGATTATCCCAAACGGTGATAGCATCTTCATGCATAACTAGCTTTGCTTTATTACCATTTCAAACTTGTTTAGGACTCCCCTACTGAAGATGGCGGTGTATGGGTAATCCATGTTGACTATGTCGAAGGTTATCGTCTCTATGCGAACCTTCTCGCCTTCTACGACAAAGACTGGAATTGCCTTTTTCCCTAAGGCGTCTTTCTTTCCCCCCAAAACCGATCAACGAGTTCCCGGCTGGTTCCAACATTCGCTTGTCATGGTTCATCTGCTCGAAAGGCTTGATGAATAAGATGTCGGTAGAGCTTCCGTTATCTATGAGGATATTGTGTATAGTGAAGCCAGCTATATTCGTTGTTGCTACAAAAGCATTTGTGTGTGAAAAATCCCACACTTGAAAGTCATTTTCGTCAAAAGTAATGGGCACCATGGACCAAGTCGGCTTGTTGAGCGGTATCCTTGGCGAGACGGTGTGCACTCTTCTTTCAAACTCTCTTCTGGCTCTCTTGTTTTCATGTACTTGGTTGGATCCGCCAATGATCAAGAATATGTGGCCTTGGGATGATAAGATGTTGTTTAAGACCTAGTGCTCCTAGGCACCTTCTTGCTTTGCGGTCGGAGGTTGGCTTGATTGTTGCTGCTCTTGTTGTATTGGTGAGGATGCAACGACCGACTGCCTAGGGTGCTGGGTGAAATGCTGGTACACCGGAAGTGGTGGCTGCTGCTAGATATACGGATGCTGGTTGTAGCCTTATGAAAAGTTAGGGTGGTGGAAAGAGCTGCTGCTTGTCGCCATATATTGGCTACCATAACCTTGACTGTTCACCATATTGCAACCAGTGTTGTGGAACATGTGATTAGATGTTTTGCTGCTTCTTGCAGCCTCGTCTTTCTCCTTAAGTTCTCTAGCCATTTTGTTGTATTTGCAATCTTTTGTGAAATGTCCTGCGTTTTCTCCACAAACGGCGCAATAGGGTATTCTCAGGGCTCGTCCCCTTCCTTTGCCTTCACGTCTGCCGTGAGGAGTCCGTCCTCCTCGCCCGCCATGCGGAGACTGATCAAAACTTCTGTATTGCTGGTTAGGCAGCGGCCCTTGGAGACTTTGTTTCACTAAGTTGTGCTCTGGCTGCTCTTGTAGGTTGTTGATTGCACTGAATGGTCTCATGTTTCACTGGCTTGGGGTTGGTGGTGGTCTGGGGGACTTGCCTAATTGCCTCCATGAATTCCTTGTCACCTTTCGCTTCTTCAAGTCATCGTCTGATCTTGTGTATTGTCTCATCACCTCAAACAACTCCCTTACGGAGGTGGGATAATTCCTAGCGAAGTGAGATGCACCAGGCCTATGGCCAACCCTTCCACGACTGCTACTATAACTATCTCCTCTAGCGCGTTTGGCACCTGAGCTTTGGTCTCAATGAATCTTTCCAAAAACTCAGATAGGGATTCGTCGTCTCGCTGAATGCAATTTAGCAAATCTCTCGTTGTTTTCGTTCCCGGGTGATATCCTTGGAAGGTGGACACTAGCTCTGCTCTGACTTGGCCCTAGGACCTGATGGATAAAGGCTTTAGTGAGGCATACCAATCATGTGCGATGTCTTTGACCGCCATATTGAGTGACTTTGCAAGGATTTGGGTGTCTCCCCTGACTCATGTTACCGCGGTTTCATAACTCACAAGGAACTTCCTCGGGTTTGTCTTTCCGTTGAAAATCAGAATGCAAAGCTTGTAGTTGGTCGACCATGGATACAGCTGAAGTTCTTTTAATAAAGGTGAGGTGGGGTCATAGGCACTTTTGTCTTCATCCAGATGGTTATCGTCTGGTATTGCAATGTTTTCGCCAGCGCGAATGGCACCCCCTGTGCCTACTCCCTGTCGTCCTCGAATTTCTCTCACCAATCTACCCCAATGGATTTTTGCTTCCCTGATTGCTCTCCACATCTATTCAGCTCTGTTATAGGTAGCGGCTTGCCTGAGCAGCTGCTCCTTCTCGTTCTGGAGTCTAAGGATGTCTTGCTGGTACTGATTCAGCGTCTTCATGTTTCTTGCTTGTTCGGTGATTTTGCCATCTTCATCTTCTTTGACTTCATCGCCATTTTGGTCGATCTTGACCTCTTGGATGTCACCTTTCAGCATTTCCTCTCACCTCTTGGATGTTGCTACATTGTTTCACATGGCTGCTTCCGCAGCCGCAGCGATGGCTGCAGCAATGGATGGTCCTGCTTTATCCATTGATATCTTTGACTTCTTTGGTGTCATGATAAGCTCGAGAAACAAAAATGGTGGGCGCCAATGCTATTCTAGGCCAAGGCCTTAAAACACTGGTTGCCGCTCAAGCGAAATGAAGCACGAAAAGCGGATAAAACGAGACTTGAGCAAAACAAGATGAACGATTTCATTAAGCTTGTTCCTCCCTTTTACATTCCCTCAATGGGGGCTATTTATACATGCTTGTGGGCTTTGCATAGGACATAAATGCCCTCCCAACTACTATAAATTCGTGGAATATTCCCCGTAGCTTTGAGCTCGTTCACCATCCGGAGCCCCGCCTGCCTCAGATAGCGTCGGCCTGACAAGACCCGACCGACTCCACCTCATGTCGCCTGTTCAACCAACTGGATGGGCCCCTAGCGGGTAGAAACTATCGGACCCATGAAGGCAACTAGCTCCTTCTTTGGTGAAACTAGCGAAAACAATCAATCAAACTGTTAACAGCTATTCGCCTAAGCGAATGGCCAAGATCGACTGCACGCCCTCCTTTGGTGAAACCTGTAGAACAATTAACCAAACTGTTAATAGATATTCACCTAAACAAATAGCCGAGATCGACTGCGCGCCCCACTTTGGTGAAACCTACAGAAACAAGCGACCAAACCATTCATAGCTATTCGCCAGAGCGAATAACCGAGATTGTCAGTGAGCCAGTCGCTAGGGCGAAAGGAAAAGACTAGGCACGGCTTGGTCCTGGCCACAGAGTCCACCCTTTCACTATATCGAAAAGGGATGTCTAGGAATGGGATGGCAAGTGCCGCCCTTACTTCGCTAAGGCGGGGCTCGACGCGTCCTTCTCTTCACTCATGGCCTGCCCTTTCGCCTTTTATTCAAGAGAAATGCTGAGTGAGCCGGAGCCCGACTCTCGTTATTTTGCTTCCGCGAGAAACCGGGATGGTGATTGAGCCACACAGGATGCCCATAGGCGGGACATGCCCCCAACACATGGGACCATCCTTATTTTCCTAATAACCATTCATGTCACTTAATTCATACTGCATGTGTCTACCTTGATTACCACTAAGGATTTCCTAGTACCTTGTTACCTTGTACCTTGATACCTATGGGATAATTGCATTGGGTAGTATTTTGCTAGTGCTCAAATTAAATAACCATGATCTGTAACTTGACTAATGGTATATGCAATAAACGTTTAAAAGATGCTTTTTATCAACATGCCTCAAGAGGGCTAGAGCATTAGGCTGTTTTTATGGTGCTCTAGTTTCTCTCCCTAAGGACTTATCTGTAAGTGGATTCCCCTAGGACTTATAGTACAACCATGAGTGCTACATGGCTCTGGCTTTAGTCAAGTATGAGGACCTTTTCTAGCTCGTAGTAGCTTACTGAAAGGCACAAGAGGGGCTCCGATCTATATGTTCTCGGCCTGCCAAGAGGGTGCACTTTGGTTTCTTTGTATTTTTGTTAGTCACCCCTTGGAGGGGAGTTCATTCTTATTGATGGGGAAACCTAGTGGGCTACACTTGTTAGACGAACCTATGAAAGACTTCATAGTGAACCTTGCCAATCTTCCTTAGAAAGGGTAAATCACGGCTCATGGTGAAAGTGTACAACCTCTGCAGAGTGTAAAACTGGAATATCAATCGTGCTCACAGTCATGAGCGGCCTAGGCTCCTTACTGAATAGATGATGAACACTAATGATACTGATGATACAGATGCTCACTTATGATTATTGTTTTTGCTATACACTAATCTTGTTTACATGATCATGTGGTTATTTGGGGCTTATGCTAAACCTGGCTACTTAATTGCTAAAATTGTGACTCACTAAAAGCTAATCCAAGTAAACCAGTGTCAACCTTTTGAGCATCCTTTTGAGCATCATGAACCTCATGTTATATTGCTGAGTATGACATGTACTTACGCTCGCTTTTACTTTTCATTACTTTGGAAAATCCTAGATGGGTACCAGATTGCTAGAATCTGGAGGAGTTAGGCTTGTGATCAACCAGTCAGTTGTTCCTATGGTGTTGGAGCCTTCGTCTGAAGAACGGAGTGTCTTTCCGCTATCTACTATCTAAGGTTATATTCTTTGTATTAAGTACGCTATATATTAAGCATTGTCTATTGATATTACCTCTATTTATAGCCATATGTGAGATTTGACTTCCTTGGCTCACATATGGTGTGTATCTGGTTTTATTCTTTAAACCAGGTGCTACAACTTTCTTCCTTGTTTCCAAGGCATTAGGCAACAATCAATAGGTTCTGCCATATGTGATTTAATAGTCTCACGGAGGTTCGTCATGGCTAGTCCTAGCTTCATCCAAAGTTCTTCCTTGAGCTTCCTAAGAGCAACTCTTTTTCTAGGACAAAACCCCTTCACATACAACTTCTATTCATAGTCAAAATGGTGCACAAGAGATAACAAAACAAGATTCATGAATACGGAGCCACCTTGGATCCAAGGTGTGTTATGAGTAATGCTAGGCGTGATCCCGTTGGTTCTTGGGTTGCTTAGAGTTTTTGGTCACTTTGGCCCACTCCCTTCTCCTAACAACAGTGAGGTGGTGACCTTGTAAGGACAATGGAAGCTAGCTAGAGCCATTAAGTGCTTGTTGGCGGTCCTTATCGACCAAATTCGACCACCAAATAAGATACAAAAAGAGGAGAACTAGTATAACTTACACAAATATGTTATTCATATTGACATATTTCCACATGTATTGGAAGATCATTGTTTTGTAGGACACATAAGAAATGCATGGGAATAGTCAAAATGTGCAATCAGGAAAGCGCAAAATAAGCAAATAAGGAGAGAGGCCCACCTACCCATCCAATCTGGGCCAAGCACCGGCATGACTGCGCTCTTGGCCTAGCTAAAAACCGCCATGCGAAAGGCGGTGGCAGGACGGCCACACCTGGGTGCGGCCGCACCTAGGGTGCACCTACACCCTAGGGGTGCCAACTGCCTCCACCTTCCACATGGCATCTCCTAGTGGCTCCCCCATGACAGTTGCATGTGGGCATGCATGGAAATCTCCTCCAAACCGATGTTTTCATGGCTATAAATAGAAGAGGAGGCCTCCCCTCTCACACACCACAACTCAAGAGCCTCTCTCCCTCCACTTGTATTCTTTACTATTTTTAGTAGTTGGAGCTAGGAGAAGCTACATTGGAGAACTTGAGCAACTTGAGCCTTTTGGTATGCATAATATCAAGAGTTTCCTTTTATACTTGCTTTCATATTATCAATATAGCTATGTTATGAAATTAGAGCAAAGTTCTTATGTTATTCATTTAGCATATAGAACTTTATGCTTAATCTTTCATACAACATACATGTTTAGACCAAGACCTAAATTGAGTGAGTTCTACTTTAAGATTAGTTTTGGTCATTATATTCTTGCGGGTTCGTCGTCCGTCCCCATGGTGGATGCTCTAGTAGAGGACTCCTGATAAAGACGGATGTTCCTGACCAATACTAGAGTAGTAGTCAATAGCATAGACATGGTGTCTAGGCTAGAGCCTACCTTCATTTGCCTCGTATCCTCCAGATGAGGGGTAGGCGGCAGGTGGTGATAGCCCTCTCTATCCATATCCTTACTAGAGACTTTTACACTAGGCCTTCCTTTGGGAAAATATAAATGAACGATACCCGAATACTTCCGGGTGAAATGCTACAACGCGGAATATTTCTGCATGTGTTCAGAAATATCATCACGGCATTTATGGTGCCATTGCTAGGAAACACAAATCCTAGTGGTGACGCTAAGAAATGCCAACAAACATTTCTGATGCCGTTGCCGAGGTAGGCATTGGTTAAAAGAATCTATTAGGACATGTTCATGATAATATGCATGTGTTGTAGCCATTGCTCATAACAAGATAACTTTGCTTGTTTTCTACTATTGTGGGTGAAAATAGGATAGTGTTAGACTGGTTTTGATTTGCCGACAAACTTCACTGAAAATTCGGAGGCACTCCTAAGGAAGAACAGGTCCTGTACCGTTTCCTCTTCTGCAACTCCACCGACAAACGAACCAATCGCCCCCGCACCATCTGCTACTACCACTATGGCCCAAAAGTTGCTCCATGAGTACTCCATCCCCGTTGTTGCCAACATGCCCGTTGGGCCCACTGTCACCACGGGCAACAGAAACTTTGAACTCAGGCCCGGGCTAATCATGATTGTGCAGGCAAACTCTTTCTATAGTTTGCCTAGCGAGGACGCAAACACCCACCTTCAACACTTCCTTGAGTTGTGCAACACCATTGTCATCAAGAATGTTGCACTAGACATCATCAGGCTCCGTCGGTTCTCTTTCTCCCTCATGGGGAAGGCGAAACAGTGGTTCTATAAGGACAGGCAAGCTATTAGCACGAGAAACAAGTGTTCCACAGCGTTCCCCACGAAATTCTTCCCCGTGGGCAAAACCAATGCCATGCGGAGGAGAATTTCAAGTTTCCAGCAAAATACTATGGAATCCATCCCCAAGGCATGGGAGAGGCTACAAGAATGTATCCTTGCCTACCCGCACCATGAGATGGGAAATTGGCAAGTCCTCCAAAACTTCTACAATGGGTTAACCCCCATGTCAAGAGGACACATTGATGCCGCTGCTAGAGGAGCCTTCCTCTCGCTCACTGTCAATGGAGCTATGGCTCTCATTGAGAAAATGGTGTCCAATAAATGGTGGGGTGATGAGAGGCTCCAAGATGAGCAACAAAAAGGCATGCATACCGTGAAGGAGACAGATATGCTTGCCGCAAAAATGGACCTTCTAATAAAAAGGCTTGACGAGCGTGCCCATGAGAAGGAGCCAATGTATGGCACCGTCAAGGCCATGGACTTGCATATGACACGCAAGGTTTGTGGTGAAAGTGGACATTTAGGGAATGATT